GGATTCAATATTTAACGATGAAGGCTTCATTACAGTAGCAAGAAAAAAGAAAAGAATGCGTGCTCAAATTGTTCCATATACACCAAGGCTTACCAGGAATGCTGCTAAGCAGCTTTCATATACTTTCATCTCCCTTCCATGATGAATTGCCTAATATGGAATGTTTGTGGCCTTGTTTCTTCCCATCCAAGGCTACGTGATCTTATTAGATAATGGAGAATTACTTTATTAACGGTTATTGAGCCTATAGTTGATGCAGCAATAATCCATTTTATTTCCTTAGACACGGGTTTACAAAGCTACTTTTTCTGGCCTGACAACAAAATTTGGTTATTCTGGGACTCTCTTAATATTACCATTTCTGACATTTCATGGGGTAAGCAGTATATCCATCTTAAAGTCTCGTCTGGAGAATAAATCCTTTGGTTCAGAACAGTTTATGTGGATCATAGTTACATTGAAAAGAGACAACTATGGTCTTTCTTAATGAATCGGGCTAGATGTAATAGAGAACCCTGGATGGTGGGGGGAGACTTTAATGTGATTGTTGATAATTCTGAACATAAATGAACTTCCTTACCTATTTTGGCTAGTCTGGTTGAATTCAAAGATTGTGTTGCACAATGTGAGCTAGTAGACCTACCTTTTCATGGAAGCAAATTCATTTGGACTTGAATTAGAAGCAATGGAAGAGTGTGGCTCAGATTGGACAGATTACTAGTTAATTCTTCATTTATGGATATTTTTGACAATATTCAGATTAATCATCTAAACAGGACCCTATCTGATCATATTCCCATCCTTTTGTAGTGTAAGAACTTTACAATGGCTGGACCTAAAGCTTTTAAATTTCAAAACATGTGGACTTCACACCCAATTTTGTTTATGTAGTCAAGACTTCGTGGAATTCTACTACTGGTGGTGGGGGTATGAGAGGTATTTATGATAAACTCAAAACCCTTGAACCCTTAATTTGAAGTTGTGGAATAAAAATGCTTTTGGAAATATTTTTGAAGATGTTAAAAAACAGGAAGAGGAGGTTCTTAAAGCTGAATTGAGATATGAATATAACCCCTCAAAGGAAAATAGGGAAGGTTGGTCCCTTAAGCAGGCAATGCTTATTTCAAAACATAAGCAGAAAAAAACTCGCTGGAAACAGAAGGCTCATGTGAAGTGGTTGAAAGAATTAAAGAAGATAGTAATACTTACTTCTTCCATTCTTTGGTCAATGTTAGAAGGAGTAGTTGAAAGAATTAAAGAAGATTGTAATGATGCTACTTCCATTGGACAAGCTGCAGAGGGATACTTCTCTAGGATCTTCTCTGAGGAAGCAATCTATAATATGGAGGAAATCCATCAATACATACCCAGGTTAGTAAATGAACATGATAATGCTATGTTACTTGAATTACCTACTTTTGATGAGATCAAACAAGCTGATTGAGATTTGAATACGGATGGGGTACCTACGGATGGGGTACCTGGACCTGACGGCTTTAATGGGGTTTTCTTTAGGAAGTGTTGGGAGATTGTGAATTGGGATGTTGTAAGGGTTGTTCAAGATTTTTTCAAGGAAACCACATACCCCAAGCAATGGCCAGTTCTTTGATTATATTAATCCATAAGAAAGATAGACCATCTACATTTGGGGATTTTAGACCTATTAGTTTATCTAACTTTATGAATGGAAGAGACATGGTTTATCATATACCGGTTGCCCAAGAAATGATTAATTCTATTTATAAAAGGGTAAGAGGCACCAATATTATTGTAAAGCTTGATATGTATAACGCTTTTGATAGGCTTTCATGGTCTTTTTTTGTTGAGAAAATGGAAATTTATTGATGAACAAACAATGGAATTACAAAAAAGATGAAAGAAAGAACATAAAAGGAGAATGAAAAAAGTAAAACAAATCAAGCCAAACCCTAAATACTACACAAACATCACCTTCCCTAAACCATCCTACACCCTCATTCCAAACGAGATTGAGACATTGTCCTCATGAGATGTGACCGTTGTTGATGCTTTTTCTTGTATATCTTAACTTGCGTGTTAAGATTCTGTGTAGGCAAGCAGTTGTCACTTGTGACCAACTTGTGTAGGCTTTCATGGTCTTTTTTAAAAGTTGTTCTCCTAAAGTTTGGTTTCTCTTCTTCTATCATTACGCTGGTAATGAATCATTTATAAGCTACATGCTTTTATGTTCTGATTAATGGTGCACATAAAGGTTTTTTTCATCCTTACAGAGGGGTTAAACAGGGGGGCCCTTATCCCCTTTTTTGTTCATTATTGCATCTGAAACTTTCTCTAGAGGTTTGAAGGCTTTATTGAATAATGGAAAAATTAAACCCTACTGATTTGGTCAAAGAGGGTATTCCAGTATCTCACTTATGCTTTGCTGATGATATTCTCATTTTTCTTAATGGGAAGGCTAGATCTATCTTAAACTTTAAGAAGTTCCTTGAAATATATCAACGGGTTTCTAGTCAGGCTATTAACTTCGATAAAAGTAGCTTTGAATGTGGAAACACTTCCCTTCAGATGGTGAGAAAACTAGAAAGATTTCTAGAAATGACTAAGAGCAATCTGCCTCTGAGATATCTAGGGTCTATGCTGCACAAATGGGTAAACATAGTTAGATACTATACAAGACTCATACAAAGTTGTGAATTTTCACTTGTCTGTGTTGTGTATTTTAGTTGTATGTGTGATCAATTTTAATTGTGTTAGTGAACATAATATTTAATGGTCTATATGATTCTAGATGAATGATGTACTTGTGTGTGCTCAATTTTAATGTGATTTGAAAGAAAATGAAAAGATAATAAAAATAGATGGAATCAGTAAATAAGCTGATTTTTTGCAAGTAATTAAAAAAATGGATATATAGAAACTAGAGAAGAAGAGAATGGAGAAGGGAAGAGGAGTATGAACAACATAAGAAGATGAAGCAATCTTCTTAAGTACACAAGTTGTGTACAACTTTTGTGCAAATGTTATTTTCTTTTTTAAATTACTACCTCCGTCCCATTTTACCTGTCTTACTTTCCTTTTTGCGTTGTCCCAAAATAAGTGTTACATTTCCCTTTTTGGAAAGAAATATGTTGTTCACAATATTTCACTTTATTATATTCAAATCTCAACCACAACTTTTACCTTTTCAACCACTTTATTAAATGAGACACAACTCAACGAGTCAAATAATTTGATGTTCCCAAATCAGGCTATCCGCATTGCAAAGGGGTGAAAACCCAAATGTGAAGGTTTCACCCCAAAAAGTGTTACAACCCAGCCCTTTTTTGTATAGCAAGGTCTCAATTAGGGGAACCTAGACGAGGGAGAGCTGACCGACGTATTAACTCCTCGGCCCAGCAACAAGTGTGCACAATCAATGTTCTAAAAGGCGCTAGGCGCTAGTCGGGCGCCAGCCTAGTGCCTAGCGTCTTGGCGGTTAAGCGGGCGCCTAGTCGGGGACTAGTCGGAGACATAGAAATTGCATTTTTATCTATATTTTTTTGCATAAATATGTTAAGTAATATTATATTTTTTGTGTGTATAAAATACATTTATACACATACATTAACAAATATGAGTGATAGAATTATCACACTTAATGATACGTAGTATATGATAACTAATCACTTAACTTCATTATGTTATAAATATAAATAATAATAAAATTGAGGTACACACACAAACATATAGACTTTTTATCTTAATTTACAACTTCATTTCTTTATATTTGTGGCTAAAGTTAAAGTACTTATATCGCTTAGGAAAAAAATAAAAACTAAAGTAGTGTTTGGCGAATCTAGACGGCCTAAACGGATGATTAGGTGCTCTGAGCGGGCAACTAGACGTCATAGGCGGTCGACTAATTCAACTAGACGGCAAACCAATTAGTCGGAGCGCCTAGACAAAAATTGGGGCGCTTGTCCACCGCCTAACGCCTAGGCGGCAGGGCGAACCGTAGTAGAGACTCAGGGGGCTACCGCCCCCAACAGTTTTGTTAGTGTATATATTATATATGAAAAATAATATTCTCCCTCCCAAAAAAATTTGAAACCCCCAAAAAATATTTTTGCGCCCCCCAAGATGACTTTCCTGGGTCTGCCCCTGCTAGGCGGGGACTAGTCGGACGCTTAGAACGATTTTTAGAACAGAGTGCGCAACTATTCACGCGCCTGACAGCTTCAACAATGAAGATGTGGATGAAGCTTGCATGTGGTGCTGGGAACTCTTCATGTGTTTGGTTGATTCCTTCGTACATGCAATATGAGAGCTTTCGTGGTTGCTTTAAAGCGGCTGGACATTACTTAAATAAAAAATTAGATATAGTACATAGTATTAAATATGATAATTAATACGGAGTATTATAGCAATATATAAAATAATGGAAATTAGTATTAAAGCAATATATAAAATAATTGAATTTTTTGAATTTTATCGAATTTAATTCAAGTGTGCATTTTTTATACTTACAAAAAAAATTAATTCACAAATTTTATTTTTTTTACATCGGAATGTTTGACTTGTGAAATCATAATTATTGGTAAAATTAAACTGTCGTATAAATAATGTAATAAAAAAGCAAGAATTTATCCATTTAATTTTTAAAAAAGTGCAGAGTGAATATATATTAAGGGTTTTGGGTTGTAGGGAAAAACCGTATTGCCTGAAAGAATATGTAATCCATAGTGAATTAGATTTATTTACACTCGCTCAATTAAAGGGGTGTCCCAAATTATGACTTTGATGAATTTTAAAATATCATGGATTTTGAAATCCGAGGGGAATCTACAAGATTGTGGTGAATCGTTTTTGTATGTAGAAATCCATTAAAATCCATTAAAATCCATGCAAATAAGTAAGAACAGAAATTTACGAAATGTTTGAGGACACCCGTATTTTGATGGATTCCACAGAAATCCAAATCTGGAACACCTGAATTCTAACTTAATTCTAAACTCGAGGGACACCCTTCTTAGTCCCACTTAGTCTAAGTTTAGTCTAAGCTTGAAATAAAATGGCTGCGCCCACACCGCTCATTCGAAGTATTTTTTGGGAGTAAATTGGAACCCTGTAGATAAATGGACCTTCTAGCTCCTTGCAACGCTTGCTACCCGCTTCACCGGCGAGCTACATTTCACGCGCCTCTAAACTTCCCTCCAAACTCCACTAAATGCAGCCGCAAAACGACTTTTGAGCTGCAAGCACCGGGCGCCGTCGCTGCTCAAAACGGTACCAGCAATTCAATTCCGAACATTCCAACCCACAAAGTCACCGTTCACGATCGCCAAAGCGGCGCTGTTCATGAGTTTTTCGTCTCCGAGGTATGAATTCTTTCATAACCTTAATGTTCTCTGCGTGCAATTGGAAAAAGAGAGATAAAATGATATGATACAAATTACAATGACATGGATCAACATAAATGCAGGATCAGTACATATTGCATACGGCCGAGGCTCAGAATATAAGGCTACCCTTTGCTTGCAGGCATGGTATTGACTCGAAAATCAATCAAGCTTCCACTCCCAGTTCGTAATATGCTGATTATTGATTACATATGATGTGCAAGATAACTTTCAAATTGACACACGATTAATTTGTTGTTGTTATTGTTGTTTTTTCTTCTGCACAATAATTACTTAAGCACTTTAGGAGGAGATAATGAGATAGTAGAATAGCCTGTCTGCCATAGTCAAGAAAATAGTCTTTCACTGATGTTCTATGCATTTGAGGCTTCCAAGGCTGACTTTATGTACCTTTCATTTTTTATAAAAGAAAACAAAAACAAGATAACAAACAATATTCAGTCTCGACTTGTGGTTAATGTGCGGAGTACTTTGTAATCTAAAGCCCGTTTGGTAACACTAAAATTGACTGAAACGGCCTAGTATTTAAGAAAAAAGTATATTTAAAATATACATTATTAATAAAAATAAAGTAAAATTATATGAAAATAGCTGAAATAGTAAATTTCAGCAAATTCAGTTTAAAAGTAACCTCAATCTTTTGATATGAAATCAAAAGTTACGTGTTTGGTAAAAAAGTTAGACGATAAGGCTGATCAGCTGAAAATATACGTTACCAAACAGGCTCTAAATTTGGATTGTGGTCTCTAATGCAAGTTGTAATTTGAGTAAAAAAGTTCATCAAATCCACAAAACAGTTCTGACATCTTGAATTCGTATAGAATAAAATGATCAATGTGTCATCTGTTTATCAGAATGATGTCCAATATGATGAAATTACAATCTGATCATTCTCTACGCATTGCTCATATACCAGTGATGCGATAAAGGGTCCTGATGGGTCTATTCCAAATGAAGATTTTGGAAATTTTTACTTCGGATTTCATTTTTATTGCATGAGTTGTCTTGGGGGACATAGAGCTCTTGTTGATCTATAAGTTCTTGATACTCTTTATTTCCCTATTTTCTGGCTTACCTTTCTCCATATCATAGAGATTCCTATATCTAAGTTAATTATCTTATATCCTGAAGGATGTTGTACAAGCTGTGCTGTTCGTGTAAAATCAGGGAAAATAAGACAGCCAGAAGCTTTGGGGATTTCAAATGAACTGAAAAAAAAGGTATTGTTCATCTCTTGCTGCCTGAAACACTGGAACTTTTTGAATCTCATCTCTTACCCTACTAAGGCTGCTTATCATGCTTCATTCTCAACCACCACCACCATTCATTATATCATTAATGCCGTGTTTGGATGGGGTGTTGAAGGGTGTTAGTAATGGTAGTGTTAGGAACTCTAGGCATGAGTAGGGCTGCAAACAAGCCAAGCCGAGCCGAGCCGAGCCGAGCTTGAACATAGGCATGAGCTCGAACGAGCCTAATAATTTTGGCTCGAGTTTGGTTCAAACTCGAGTTGAACTCAACTCGAATTTTGCTAATTATTTTATATAGGTTTGAACTCGAATAAGATGCTAGTTCTCGAGCTAAAAATAAGATTTATATTTTCAGAATTATTATTATTATATTTATACATACAAATAAATAAATAAATAAATAAATACTATCTAATATTTGTACTTTATCGTTCTCATTTTTATTAGTTACTCTCTCCTTCAGTGACATTTTTACTCCTTATTTGTCTATCAATTAAATTTTGAAATATATAAATGAACATAAATAAATAAAGGTAATTTGTGTATTCTTTTAACTAAACCTAAAGAAAACATATTTTATTAGCTAATATGTCAAAGGAGGAATACATACGTTAGCACACATGTCCTCATAGTATTACAGAACTAAAAAACAATCTCAGCGGCCATGCACATTTCATTTATTCATCACAATTTTAGATATATAAAAATTGTACAATTATACAAATACAATGGGTAAATCGGTGAATGCCACATTAAAACCTACTACATATCAGTATATCACATTTTCTAAATACAAATACAAGAATAACAAATTATAAACATTTCTAGCATTCTAGGTATGTTATTACACAAATACAATGGGTCAAATAGTCAATACCTCACTAAATTGGATTCAGAAATAAATAAAAGAATACAGTTGAGCGCCTACCTGCCAGGGCCGGACAGATTGGAGTCTGGAGGTAGTACCTGCTGCCTGCGAGGCTGGACTGCAGAGGAATTCAAAGAGAATGGACTAATCAAGGTTAGGGTTTGAGGAGTATAGAGAGAGTGGAGGACCGAGCACTAGAAGTGACGGGAACGGGATTGGGAAAACTAGAAGCTGAAAAAGAAAGAAGAAAGAACATGGGAAGATGAAGAGGAAGAAGACACCTTATGGGTTTCTAGATTCTATTGGTTGATCGTTGAATGTGGTTTCAGAACTGAGCAGGTTGCGTGAGTAGAGCATAGAGCATAGGAGAGTCATGATGAAGTCATGACAGAAGACTTTTACAGTGAGTCTGTGACTAACAAGGATTTAATGGGTTTAATTTGTTTTGACCTATTATTTGGATGGGCTAAGTCTTAGTATTATAAATATGGGCTTATTATTCAAAGTAGGATCAAACAGAAAAGTAGGCTTATTAAGCCTTTCCCAGACGACTTAAGCGCGCACTTTTCAATACTTCTGCGCTTCTGCACTTATCGCGCCTCACGCATCACTCATGTGGCTGCACTTGAAACTCTAATAGGCGCTGACCCTCATATGCGCCTCGCCTGGTGAGCGCACCAGGCATTCGCTTTTGACTACACAGAGAATGAGTAAGGACGTAAGTGTAAGATATAAACTTAAATTGCTAGAGTTAAGAAAATGAAGTGTTATTAATAGAAGTTTCTTTACTTGAATTGACAACAATATCCCTGTACCTTTTAAATTACTTATCACTCATAATAGCTTAAATCGCATGCTCCATTACGCGAAGTTTTTTTTTTCCTTTTTCCCTTTCCGATCAAATAGTGTAGTCTTTGTCCTTTCTCCCTCCGTCCAAAGACAAATCATGACTCACATTATTCTGTCTCCGCAATCCAACCCAATACATAACAATGCATATAACTTTAGTTATAAATGAATGACACATTCGAGTCACAATGTGACATTATACAATTTATTTCCTTCAATTCACCTGTCAGCCATCTTTAATAAAACATATACTTAAAAAACACATCAACAAAAACAACAACATTACCCCAATGCCACAAAGGCTCCGAACGTGGTTGGTTTTTATTTTTTTTTTCTTTTTCTCTCTTGGTTCAGATCTGTTTGCTCCTACCCATCCTCCGAACATCTAATGCTTCATCTAGCCAGATCACCCATGTTTTTTCCTTCTCTCCCTGTGTCTTCTTTTTATCTTCTTTTTCATTTTCTCACTTTGATATTCATTCTTTTTAATTACACACACACACACGGTGGAGATAGATACTAATCCTGCTTCGCCCGCTTCTTCTTCTGGAACAACTTCCTGAAGGAACCTCTCCGGACTTCAGAAGATCTATTGGTCGTTGGCTTAAGCTTAAAGAGTTTTGAATCTTCTTCCTCATCAATTGGTCGGCGATTACAATTTCATCACACGACATCCTCGTCTCCTCGATACCTCTGCCTTCAACGATGCTTGGAGGTCCTACAACAACAAACTCTGGCGAAGTCCTTGTTTTTATGTGATTTAATATTAAACATAATGTTTCGTTCATCAGCTCCTTTTTTTCTGTCCCGGAGCAACCACACGAGGTGGGGGAGTGCCGGGGAACACTTCCCAACTTTACTAATAAAAGTTTGAAATTACAATAGAAATAAATGGAAAACAAGCCAAGCAAGTACAAAAATAAATGAAGTTACAAGTCTAAAGATTTTAACAATTGAAATTTTGTGTGGGAATCCCCACTAAAGTGGATAGAGTCATGTTGTGTTGTTGTGAAATTTGATCGCCTTCTTCAGATATGGTTGGTAGGTTTCGGCTTCCAGATGTGTTGACTTGTAGCGTTTTGGTGCTTCAGCCAATTTATGAGGGGAGTCAAGCCTCGTGTCAACCGGGTACAAGTAGTAGTCTGATTCATTTTGTGGGTGATGGGAGCGGCTTCTTGTGATCATGGGGTGTGAGGTCCACCCCACCTCGTAAAATAATGGTGCTCTTAGATCTGTGTTAGGGGTTTGGACAGGGCTCTTGTGTTTGTTTTTCCATCTATTTACCTGCGTAAAGCCGTCTGGGCACTCATCCTTGTCGGCATATGTAGTGTCTGTACCTGGAAAAGCATGTAGATGAGTAGTTATGTTGTCCTCAGATATGATATCATCATTTGACGTGAAGGATCAAGTTTAGTATTGTACAGTGGATCAGAATTAATTTCTTCATTTCCGTTTGGAGCTTCACATAAAGTTGGTTGAACTTCCGCCATGGTTACCGTCTTTCTACAGGTAGCCACCATGGGTTCAACTCAGCATTCTGCAAGTGGATCATGTATCACTTGACTGCTAGTATAATAATCATCAGGGTTTTCAGCAATAGCAGCAGTTGGTGTGCTTTTAACTGGTACAGATTCCACCAAAGCAGCTGGGGCCTCAGAATTCACAAGTGCAACGGCAGAAATCCGGGCAGCAATAACCTGGTTCTCGGGAGGGGCATAAAAAATTTGGGCGTTAACAGGAGGGACATCACAAGCATTCTCGTCAACAGATGCATCCAAAACCGGAATAATAGGGGCATAATGATCATTTAAAACTGCAGAATAATCATAGTTAAAAGCATGAACAGTTTGATCATGAATGCAGCTCCCCTTTTTCTCCACAGTTTTTTGTTCATCATATCCCTTTTCTCTCCATAATTTCATGCTCACCAATCCATGATTTGTTGGGTTTCTCGTAGATTTAGGTAAGCTTAATTTTTATTTCATGTTATGCACCAACAGTATTGCTTTGTATAATCAATCCTGTCTGATGAGTCTGTAATATAAATTATATAATAAATATTATAGAAGAACAAAAAAATGAGAAAAGTCAAAAAGAAAACCATAGAATAACGAGGAGAAGCTGAAGCATACAGATGTTGGAACAAGGGTCAAAGCATCTGGATGAAGAAAGGGGGAGAGAAGGAAAAAGAAAAAGGAAACGAAAAAGATAGTAACATTTGACACGTGGATCGTGACGTGTGCATGCAACTTGTGTAATCGGTTGTTTACTGGTTAAAAACATGATTTCAGCGTTTTTTAAAAGTTGGAGTACTTGATTGGACGATTGTTGGTACGAGGCGCTAATAGACTTTTGGGCATAGTAGGAGGGTTTATTTGACAGCTTTCCCAAAAGCATATCAATAATTTAAGAGAATACGAGTAGCAAAATGAGTAGCATTAATATCAATATGAACGCATTACAACATATATATCAACATAGTTAAAAACAGATCAATATATTAAAAATGAACCCATAGTATCCTATGCGTACCATACAAACAAAAGAATGAGTAGGAATGCCATATATTTACTAAAAACTCATATGTCATTTTATTGAACACTTGGTACGCATCAACGTACTAATACTTTCGTCATGAAATGGAAAGAATAACAAACAATAGTCAATACATAACAATCAATCATAAATACAACGTCGACTATGCATAATAATGGACCTAAAAGTTAATGTCTAGTAAAGAAAAATGGACCATACGTATTATCTCGATTCTTGAGAGAACGGAGGTTCAGGGCAGCGGGGGGCATGAGGTGTTGGCGGCAGTTTGGGTGAGTTCGTCGTTGTTGGAGGGCAAGACACCACAATAGTAATTCACGGAGGAATAGAAGTAGCAGGGGAGACGTGGAAGGAGTGAGAGTATTATATTTTTTAAATAAGGAGAAGTACAAAGGTTGTCCAACACCTGAAAACACCCCGATGTTGGGTGTTAAATAAAATGATAAGTTAGGTGTTGGGAAGGTTATGGTTAACACCCTTTAACACTTGTTAGGACCTCTATGTTTTTTAATTTCTCTCCCGAACAAGTGTTAAGGCCAACCCTCTTTAACACTTACATTATTAACACCCTTCAACACCGCATAACAATTTCTTTTTTTTTTGTTATGAGGAAATATTCATGTATCCATTCATTTCTATCTGATTATTTGTTTTTGAGATGTTGGAAGTTGTTAGGTACCTCAACAAAGCACCATAAATTTAGTGTTCAATTGATAAAATCTGAGGAACCGATCCTCCCAGTACAATGGCGCATAACAGTAAACCCACATACAGTAGCGGAAAGCAGAAAATAGAAGAGCAGAAAGGTTTGAGACAGTTCGAGTCGTCTTGCACTCCCAAGGCCTAATTCCAGATCCAATTTCTGCCTACCCCCCCTTTTCCCCTTTCTGCTCTTAATACACTCATCTCCTAAATGGGCCAGCCCATATTTTATGACATGGCCCATATTATTCTCTACAGCCCAGGGCCCTATCATATCTTCCCCTTTGAACACCCACCTTGTCCTCAAGGTGGGTGATAACAGACAGCACTGACCATCATCTTCATCTTTAGTTTTGCGCCTCTCCTTTCCCAGTACATCTCCATCTTCTGAACCTTTAGCTTCGATACTTGAATATTCATCGTCGCTTCCTTCACCTCTGGACTCCCACATAGGGCATCAAAATCTCCAGCTATGTCGTTCTGCTCAGCCCATTTTTCCACTGCTGGTTGGTTTGGTTTAGTAACTGCTACTAGAATTTTCGCCAAGCTACTCCCAAGATCTGCATCCATAACAACAAGGACGCTGTCCAGTAAAAGAATGTCATCTTCTGCCGCATTTTGGGTACATACAACAACATCCCTCCAATCAACTCCCACTGAAAGACTCCACCAACACCTCTCTGCAACTTCACGTTCCCAAGTCGTAGAGTTAACTTTCACTCTCTTTCTTGGAAGAGAGAGTGGGAAACCGCGGACTAGCTTCAAGAGGGAACAATCTTTGCTAGTGTCATGCCAAACAGAGATAAGACAACAGCTTGGTGTAGATAATGCAGAAGCAACATTTTCAGTCCCAACATTAATATGGTAGTAACCCATAGGGGTGAAACTTGAACTTGAAAAAACATGAACCCAACCACACAAAAAGGCAACTGCAATTTCACCTCCATGAACAGAATAAATAATCCGGTTAAGGGTTCCAACATCCCTTGGAAGATCAAAAGGATCAAATGTGAACCTCTTTGTCATCTCAATAGCAAGGTCCGAAACAATTTGCATATCAGGTATTGATATATATTAGAAAATGAACTTAGATGAAATGAAGGAGATTTCAATTATTATTGATTACAAGAGTCAATACAAGTATTTATAGTAGAATGCAAGTAACTAACTCTAACAGCCTGTATAACAGCACTAACAGCCTAAGGTATATCTAGAAGGTTCCAAGCTATTTACAATAAACGTATGTAACATTATTTTATATTCCTAACATTCCCCCCTCAAACTTAGGGTGATTGATTTGGAAGGTCGGTCAATCACACTAAGTTTGGTTTTTAACTCAAGAAAAGAAGATGCAGATAAATAAAGCCTTTGTCAGAATATCAGCAATTTGTTGGGAAGCAGGAATATGGAACACTTCAATCTGCTTGGACTGAACTTTCTCCCTCACAAAAAAGAGATCAATCTCCATGTGTTTTATCCTGGAGTGTAACACAGGGTTGTGGGCAAGCTGTACAGTGCTGAGGTTGTCACAGTAGATCTTTGGAGTAGAAAATGATACTTGAAGTTCTTTGAGTAAGAACTGAAGCCACAGGAGTTCAGCTGCAGTGTCTGCTAAACTTCTGTATTCAGCTTCTGCAGAGGATCTGGCCACTCTCAGTTGTTTCTTGGACCACCAAGAGATGATGTTTGACCCAAGAAAGATGCATGATCCAGAAGTAGACCTTCTGTCAACTAGGTCAGATGCCCAATCAGCATCACAAAAGGCAAAGATAGGTAAAGGCATAGTTTTCAGAGGTAGAGGTTTAATGATGATGCCATGTGTTATAGTACCAGATAGATATCTGAGAATGTGTTTTACTGCCTTCCAGTGATCTTGTAGAGGTACTGCCATGAATTGACAGACCTTATTTACAGCATAACTAAGTCCTGGTCTTGTAAGAGTTGCATATTGCAGCATGCCAACAATGGATCTATAAGTGGAGGGATCAGGAAGAGTAGCACTTCCTGTATTAGTTAGCTTGCAGTTACTAACCATGGGAGTTTTCACTCCTTTGGAATCAATCATGCCAGCTTGATGTAATAAATCTCTTATGTATTTGGTTTGAGAGAGATGAAGACTTCCATCAGGTAGCTTTTTGACTTCTATTCCTAGGAAGAAGTCAATGTCACCCAAGTGCTTGAGAGAAAAGGATGAGTGTAGTTTGTAAATAAGGTTTTGAATTGCTTTAGAATCATTGCCTATGACCAGAATATCATCTACATATATTAATATGTAGATCTGAACTCCTTGAGACTTGAAGAATAGGAGAGATGGATCACATTTACTTTGCTGAAACCCTGCTGTATAAAGAACTGAAGTCAGTTTGTGAAACCAGGCCCTAGGAGCCTGCTTTAGGCCATACAATGATTTGTGAAGTTTGCAGATTAAAGTGGTGTCCTGTGCCTGAAAGCCTGGGGGTTGGACCATGTAGACTTCTTCATCAAGTGTTCCATTTAGAAAGGCATTATTGACATCTAATTGCTGAATGGACCAATGATAAGAAACTGCCAAGGTGAGCAATATTCTGATAGTGATAGGTTTGACCACGGGAGAAAATGTTTCTTTGAAATCAAATCCAAATCTTTGATGGAAGCCTTTGGCCACTAATCTGGCCTTATATTTGTTAAGAGAACCATCAGGGTTTTCTTTAACCCGAAAGACCCATTTACAGCCTATAGCTTGTTTGTCAGGTGGTAAAGGAACTAAAGACCATGTTTGATTTTCTATCAAGGCATTATACTCATTTTTCATTGCAGAGAACCACTGAGGAGATGTGAGTGCTTGCTTCACTGACTGAGGCTCAACATGTGCTAATAGCAAGGTAGGATTAAGTCTAGGTTTAATAATTCCTCATTTTGATCTAGTTTGCATAGGATGAGTGTTAGTTATATGAACAGAATTGGAAATTGAGGAAGTAGAGTCAGATGATGGAGGAGAAGGTGGTTGATTATTAGCTTGCTGATGTAGGGATGGACTGGGAGTAGAGTTGTTGGAATTTACTGAAGAATTATGAGTGGAAGGAGTAGATGAATGGCTTGCTGATTGATTGTGATTATTAGAAGAGATGGGTTGTGAGGCAGTGGGCTGGGAATTATTTGATGAGAGGTTATGAGACTGAGATTGTGATTTAGTGAAGGAAAGTTCATGAAACTGGGATTGAGATGAATTAGAACCAGAAGAAGGATTTGAGTCTAAAACAGTTAATATGGCAGAATCTGAGTTATGAATAGGTTTGGTTGTGGGAATAGAAGATTGGGATACAGATGAATAGGGAAAACTGGATTCATGAAAGATGACATCCTTTGAAATATACACTCTGCCAGATTTGGAAAGACACTTATAGCCTTTATGCTGAGAAGAATATCCTATGAATGTACACTCTTCTGAGTGAAAATCAAACTTGTGTTTATTGTAAGGTCTGAGAAAAGGATAACAAGTGCAACCAAAGACTTTAAGAGAAGAATAATCTGGAATAGATCCATAAAGTTTAAAATATGGGCTGGAATTGGCAATGGACTTAGATGGAGTTCTGTTGATAAGATGCACAGAAGTTGCAAATGCAGCATCCCAGAACTTAAAAGGTAAAGAAGAATGGGCTAGGATTGAGAGACCTTTTTCAACAATAGTGCAATGTTTCCTTTCAACCAAACCATTTTGATGATGAGTGTGGGGACATATGATTCTGTGAGTAATTCCTTTGTCATTGAGGAAATTAGTGAAGGATCTAAATTCTCCTCCCCAGTCAGACTGTACAGATTTTATGGATATTGAAAATTGATTGAGAATCAAGTTGTAGAAATTTTGGAATGCTAGAAGAGCATCAGACTTATTTTTCAGGAAATATATCCATGTATATCTTGTAAAACCATCAATAAAGGCTATATAATAGGAATATCCATCAAAAGATACAATGGGTGCTGGACCCCAAAGATCTGTGAATATTACTTCAAAGGGTTTATGATAAACAGTATTAGAAGGATGTGAAGGAAGTCTATGTGCCTTCCCAAGACAGCAAGCAGAACAGAAATCAACATCAATGTGATTTATAGAAGACACATTACAATGTTTAAGTACAGATTTAAGTGCCTCAAGATGAGGATGACCTAATCTGAGATGCCAAAGATTACATGAAATTGAAGAATTACATGACTGAGACTTATTACATGATGACAAACAAGACATTGGATGCACAGATTTATTAGTAGACACTAAAGAGGCTGGAGGATGAACTGCAGCAGTTGGACATGGACCAAGAGGAATGAAAGGAAACTTGTATAAGCCATCTTCACCAAGTTTTCCATGCAACAAGACTTGTTTAGAAACCTGAGATTTGACATAGCAGTCATGAGGATAAAATTCAAAGAAGACATTATTGTCCTTGGCAAATTGACTAACACTCAGTAGATTTTTGGTTATATGAGGAACATGAAGTATATTATTCAGTAAGAGTGATTGTGAGGAGTGATAAGGTGAGAGAAAGGAAGAAAAACCTATAGACTTAATATCCAAACCTTGTCCATTGCCCATGAAGAGCTTGTCAGATGTGGCAATAGGCTCACTGTGCTGGAAATTTAGTGGATCTGAGTAACATGGTGAGTTGCTCCTAAATCTGGAAACCAATGTTGATTAGATGGAATAAGACCAAGTACAGAATGATTAGCAGTGGCATAGTTTGCAATTGGTGGAGTATTAAAAGGTTGCTGATGTCCCCAGTTGAAGGTTTCATGAGGTGGAGATGGATTGGTAGGCTGATGATTCCATGATTGATTGGGTTTTGATTGTATAGACTGAGATTGAAAGGTATATGGTTTAGGTTGATGAGTATAATGATTTGGAGGATAGTGAGATTGTGAGTTGGGATTCCAGTAGGGTGGAGGTCCAAATGTTTGATTTGGATAATTAGGGTTTTGAGAAGAAGGATTAGGGTTTGGATTGGTATATGCAGGATTGTATCTATGGTAGCAAATCAAGGCATGGTGACCTGATTTTCCACAGACTTGACAAGTGATAGAATTACGTCCAGAGCGACCACCCCTGCCTCTGTAATAGCCACTGCGACCACGTCCGCGGTAAGGATTACCACTATTTGGATTATTATACTGAGAAACATTTGCAGAGGCATTTTCAACAGAAACAGAGATTTCAGATGAATTGTTCTGAGAGGAAGTATCAACTTGAGCAACGTTAGCAGAAAATATGCTTTGCTGAGTAGTGTCATGATGTTTCTTAAGTCTCATCTCTTTTGCTAGAAGCAAGGACTCAAGTTCAGCTAAGGTAACTGGTTCGAGAATGCTGCGAGAAGTTACAGAGGACACAAGAGCTTCATAATCTTGCGGCAATCCTTCGAGTATGACATTGATATGATCTTTATTAGAGATCGGTTCACCTACGAGAATAAGGTTGTTAACAATTGTCTGAATTCTAAGCAGGTACTCTGAGATGGATCGTTCCCCTTTTCCAGTGTTATAGAGTTCGGACTTGAGCTGCCTCGCCCTAGCAACGATGTTAGCTTGGAAGAAATTGCGAATCGTGTTCCAGAGTTCATACGATCGCTGGCAATGAATAATACGAGCATGCAGAGTTTCAGATAGAGACGAAAGCATCCACGCGAACAACATCTGATCCTGTGAATCCCAGTGAGTGTAAGCCTCATTCACAGTTTCCTTTCCATCTTCATCTGTGATGAATTGCTCTAGAGTCTTCGAATTCTCTATAAACCGAACGAGTTTGTGCGCGCGAATCACAGACTCAACATGATGCTTCCACAAAAGATAGTTATTCGAGTCTAATTTGATTGGAAGAGGGTGATTGAACGCTACTGGAAAGGCGACACTTCCAGCAGCGGAGGTTGAAGATGAAGTTGAATCAGTTTCCGGCATGGTTGATCGAGCTAATGCTCTGATACCATATTAGAAAATGAACTTAGATGAAATGAAGGAGATTTCAATTATTATTGATTACAAGAGTCAATACAAGTATTTATAGTAGAATGCAAGTAACTAACTCTAACAGCCTGTATAA